CTGTCTCAAAAGGAAAAAAAAAAAAGAGAGATGATGAGAATGATACAGAGCAGCCCTAACTACTGTGGGCAGGGCAGGGGTGGAGAGATGATGGTCTATGGCAGAGGATGTCTGTGTCCTGGTGAGAGCCCTGGAAGGTGAAGGCTGATGGCCGATGGTGAAGGCGTGAACCACCACACCTGGCCCTCTTTGCTCAGGCTTGTTTCTCTGTGCCTGAGCAAAGGGATGCCTCACCTGCTCCCTGATCCTCCTAGCACAAATATCCCCAGGCTCCCTCTTGTCTCTCCTAGATGGTCCATGCCCATGAGTCCCTCCCAACTTCCCAAACGTGGGCTCAGCGTGAGTTCCTCCACCCTATTGAGTCCTGGAAGCTCCCTGGCTTTACCTGGCAGACTTACCACCAGCTGGCCCTGAAGTGCCCACCTTGCACAGAAATGAAGTCCAAGGTGCGTCACCGGCTAACCCACCCTTGGAAGGACACAGGTCAGCACACCTGGGGCTTTCACACGTGGCTTGATGTGGGGCGTTTGCCTGCCACCTTCCCCAGTCGGCCTGATCAGCCCTATGACAGCAATGTCTGGAGATGGCTGATTGATTCCAATGCCCACTGCCAACCTGCAGCAGAGCCCCCCATCCCCCCTCCCTCTTGGATGGGGAAAAACAGCTTCCTGACCTTCATCAGCTGTACTCCCATCTTCACGGACATGCATAGGAAGAAGCAGGTGATTTTCAGTGTGAAGAAGGAACTGAAAGAGACAGAGAAGCTCAAGCTGAGGAGTGAAACAAGGGTACCTCCACTCGATGTCCATGGCAACGACTTGCCCCCAGCAAACTATAAGAAGTAAGATGGGGTCCTTCCTTGGGGAGCTCACCCAACCAGCCAGTGTTCAGATAGCCTCTCCCTCTGGCACCTGTTTCTGCTATCTAACTTAGAAGTGTGACCTTCCCACTTCTGGTCATGTGAAAACCAATCTGTCTTTCCTGAGTGTAGCTGGAAGGGTGGATGGAGTAGAGGTGGAGGGAAAGCTAGTGGAGTTCCTGTATTATTTAGCTAAAATTG